GTTTCTGACATAAGTAATTGAATTTGTGCTTCGATCGTGACGCAGACATATGACTGGAAGGACAGTCAAGATAAAGCTATTATGCCTTTGCAGGAAAATCCACTTGGGATTTCGTTCGATTCTGGCCACGTTTGCAGTCTTACCTCGGCAATCTTTTATTTGAAACTATAAGAACATTCTGGGCGAAGATAGGTGGCGTTTTCGCCCACACCCTACATCCAAAGACATATTCTCACCAATGCGATTCCGTGATCCTGAAGTTATCCATTAGGAGGCACAGTAAAGTTGACTGCAAAATTCCGTTTGCAGGTTGGCAACTCAGCCTAAACAATAAACAGAATAGGAGTTCACTGACTAAGACGAACTACCTTCCTTTGTAAGAAACGTGGTTTTTAAGTCCATTTATCGTTTGCTTCACGTAAGTGGTTAACTGTCTACTTTGGGCGTCTACAAACCTTATTTCCACTGACGTTTTAGTCTTGTTGTCGCACGTCTCCTTACTGACATGAGCTTATATGAGCTTGCACCCAAACATGAAGTGACGAAAGGCATTAAATGGTGGGCGAATTTTTTGTCGAGTGTTCTGAAGAAATCACTGCTCAACCCAGCTCAGGCTGCCATTTCCCGAGAAGTCTTATCCCGTTTTCATATTGACCCAACTGTGAAAAACTTGGCGCCTCGGTGGGATTAGAACCCACTGTGTAAGGGGAAGGCTTTAGCGCAGCCAACGCTCTAACCACCTGAGCTACGAGGTGGTTAGAGCGTTGGATGCGCTAAAGCCTTCCCCTTACTGCGTGGGTTCGAATCCCACCGAGGCGCCGAGTTTTTCTCAGTTGGGTCAATATGAATTATTCAAAACTGCCAAAATATCAATGTAATCCCGTCGTCATGAGCTCAATTATTTACGGCCATCGCCAGAAATGCTTTTAAACAACATCTGTCGCCCACAACTGGGAGGCAAAACTACTTGATTAAAGTGCATGTATTCCGCCGAATTTATCTGTTTAAACATTACTTCTTTCTGGCACGCAGTGTTAGCGGGTGCAGATTAATCAAGCATTCATGTGAATCCTGTAGCGGACAGCCAACACCGCTCAATGCATTTAAAAATTGGTGACAAACCCCAACTTGATCGACACGCAATCTCCAGACGTGGCTGAAAACGACTGCCACAGAAATACCACTCGACTTTGCCCTGCTGTTTTTCCTGTGTCATTCATCGTGTCCACAAATAGGAAAATGCGGCTGGCGACGCCCTGTCGCGGTTCGAGATGGAAGTTATCGACAAAATTCAACCATACAAAGCCAGGTCAAACCCCAATCATGCACATAGACCAGATCTCCAAATGAGTTGACATCCAAACGCATAACATCTGTCCAAGACATTCTTCCGCCCATTACCAACGAAACCATCATTCGTAAGTTACTTGAATACACTTAACATGCTACCGTATATACCGCGATGAATTTTCAAACTCTCAACTCTGCGTTCTATCCCAATTTTTGTGTCTGCATGACAGTGAGCCTATTTCACTGACGCATTCGTCCGACTCATCACTCACTGGGACGCCTAGTGTCCGAAAAGTTCTGCTGTCTCATACCAACGTGCCAACTCACCGGCACGCGTTGACGAGATCACGCCAACACACCAATGGTTGATGCGTCAACTGTACCTCTGTACAGGTCGCAGCATACCCATCGTACGGGGTCCGAGCCACTCCTGTCATCATCGGCACACGCTCTCAAACCCGCATGTGCACTGAATAATTTCACATATTTCATCGTCTGCCTCACGATCTACACCATCACTTCGTTCTGTGTCTGGCGGGGAGCTGTAGCGGGCAGCCAACATGACCGGTCTGGCGTCATTGTTCAAGACCTCGCTGCCTCAAGGTCATTCATCCTTTTAAAGTGAGCTGTCCCAGATGCGCTGACCTGAAGTCACACGACCGACAGCTTGGGTATACCAGCGTTCGCACAGCCGCAGCTGCCTATGCGGCAATTTGAACGCATCCCACCCCTGAAACCAGCAAAACAAACCACTGAGACACCTCGCCTCGGCAAATGCAACACATACTGACTGGACACCACTTGTGCTTGGCCCACGAGCCTACCAAAGCGGCTGCCACCACTACTTCAGAGACTCTCAGGCATGACTGGATGCAATCGACACCAGCCCTGCCTTCGCCAGTGTCCAATGCCGCCTTAGAGGACAACTTCGGTTTCTGTGCACAATAAACCCCTCATTCTGGTGACTTCCTTCTCCTTTCTTCCAACACCAGGATTTGGACTGACGATAGAAGCGCTCTGATTACAGACGCACACATTCACACCGCCTAGTCACAACAAGCCTACTTATATTAAAACACCCCCAGCATTTCGAATTTTCCTGTTGAGCTGAAAAGTTATTTATAATTCATCTCATGTAACTATAAAGGGGGTATCGCGGTCCATAAGCTGACGAAATATGTTCCTGATAATTGTGTGCTGTATATGCTGAATGCGTCAATTTGCGGATATCAAGTCTCAAAAATACACTTACGTGAGACCCAATCTTGCACACAATAAAGTTTTTTAGAAGCCATGTATTCTCACAATACACTTATTACCTGAAGAAGGAGACACGATCGTTGGAACAAGGACTTTATTGGCCTGACTTTTCGGATTTCTGCTCGAACCCATCATCAGAGACAATGGCGCATACGGGTAGTTCATGCATAAGAGGTTGCAGAATTTATAGGATGAAGTCGCAACGGCGTGGACGACTGATAGACTGCGTTTTTGTCTGAAGGCAAAACTGTCAAGGCATGCTGGTGACTAAGACGCTCTGCAGAGCTGAATGCTGGAAGGATCAACGACTCGTCATGTCAAAGATGTGTCCTCGACCCCAACCCCATAGAAAACCACAAGCCAAGCGAATAGCAGGTGAATCAAACACTATTCTGCTGAATTTGTACACTCATCGCTTCCATTTCAACGATCAAATGATTGAACTTCCAGAAGAACTACACGCTACGGTGGACATCGTCGTCGTGGAGATATAGTGGTTTCAACTGCGGAACTTCATTCTCTTTACCGCCGTAAATGCTCCGAGTTGCACACATAGCCAACAGCAGAAGTAGTTTAACGGAAAAGACACAGAAACCACCGACTTTTCCGTATAGAACATTAGGCCGCACCAAGCCTAAGTCAATTGCAGAACAGATGCCCACAAGGCGGCCTTTTTCAGATATCTTCGACCGGTGCAGCAACGGCTGGGAGGGATGCAAAATGTGTAGATGTATAACCAGACTGGGGGATCCAGGGGCACGTAGACCGCAATGAAACGAAGAAGTTCCCCGTCTGCTCTAGGAAACGCGCCAGTGCTGGTTCGGACAGAATAACACTCTTCCCGCAGAAATTTCAGATTCTTAAACACTGGACTAAACGCCTCAGAATCGCCTTTAACCGCTCATCCACAATAACTGATGTCGTCATTGATCGGTTTCCTTAAACGAAAATCAATACTAGCGTGGACCATCCGCTTAACCTCCCCCCCCGCCCACCCCATGAAAGAAAGCCGTGCAACAGCTCCTCAGCGGAGAAATTATTGGAATCTAACGCAATCCCAGCGGGATGCCACAAGCACGGCGACCCTCAGCTGATGGACAAGTTGACTTCACTCTTCCAGGAAATGTGGCGACAATAACAGGGGACTCAATACTTTAGAGACTGAACTATCGTCCAAACATGCCAACGAGAAGGAAGCAGTCTACATCGTCAGGATCACAGAGGCGTCCGACTACTTAACATCCCATTGAAACTCTTCGTTCGCGCCCTCCCCAACCGACGACCTGATCCTCTCTGTCCGCCAACTACAGGAGGAGGGCCAAGGGATGACTACCAACCTCATTTTTACCTTCGTTGATATAGCAGAAGGCATCGATACAGTCAGCCAAGGATAGGCTCCGAAAAATAATCCAGAGATTTGGATGTTCGAAGCACTTCACCAAATGATGCGCCAACTCTACGGTGGGATGAGGGCTTGAGTCACGGATAACGGGAGAATCTCTGAAGCGTTTGTGCTGACGAATGGGGTGAAACAGGGCTGCTTACTCGCGCACACCTTATTTAGCTTCATATTCTCCGCTATATGGACAGGTGGAGATCATCAACAACTGACGAACCAACGGAATATTGTGCAGAATTAGTCGCCTAAAGGCCTTTTGGGGATATCAAGGACCAGCGTTCACAATGACCATTCGTCTGGTACCACAACAGAAGAGGATATTCAGCGGAGGGTGGATCTCTTCGATTCCGTTTGATATAACTTCGTACTGACCTTGGAAAGGAGAAGGCGGTGGTCATGCAGCTACTGGCACTTAACGCAGGGGACAATGAACCCTGAATCAACACCACTGGAGCCAAACTTGCAATAGTGGTCAAATTCACATACCTTGAAAGTACACATTCAAAGACTGGACGACAAAATGGCCGCCGGATCTCTAAAGCCATCCGGGCCTTCGATCAACTATAGTCCTCAGTCTGCAACTGCCAATGACCTCATCTGAGCACGAAACTCGAAATGTACAGCGCGGTAGTCTTAACAATGCTATTCTACGGGGCGAAGGCATGGATAGTCAAGGCAACACAAGCCAGGCAACTCAATCACTTCCACCCTAGCCGCCTCCAAGAACCCTAAAGCTAAGATGGCAAGATAGAGTCCCAGACATGGAAGTTTTGGAACAAACCGGAATCCAAACCTCGATGCTCTGTTGAGGCAAATTCAATTACTGTGGAGCTGCCACTTTGTGAGAATGGACAACGAACGCATGCCGTATGGCAACGTCACAACGGATTATCGTGAATACAAAGGACAGAAGTGACGTCACAAAGGCACTACAAATTTCCATTACGAATCTCCAAGTCAATCCGACCATCTGGAAAGACCGATCGATCTGGGGAAGAGCTGTGTGGACTGGAGCGGAAATCTCCGAAGCCCACCGGATCTTCGCTGTCAGATGCAAAAAAGTGCCTCGCAAGTTTCAAGCGCCTCCGACCCAAAACGCAAAACTCAACCTGAACATCGTGTTACCACTGTCAACGGACCTTTCGCACATGAATCGGCCTTGTCGGACACCTCCGAACTCCGAACTACAAATCTATCTACTGCCTCCGTGGACAACTCCACCTTCACGCCTGCAGCGAGCCTCATAACTATGACGACGTTTGACAACACCCTCTGGCACATTCATGATGCGCTGCCACCCACCACCCTCATCATCGCTGTCACAACCCCGGCGGCGACAACTACCATCCCTGCCACTCTCACCATCAGTAGGTAGCTTTCCGACGCCCCGTCAACCGTCAGTGCCTGGAGTCCCCACATACACCCCTGCACCCAACTAAACTACCCGAAATGTCTACGCACACATGGGCCTGCTCGGTCTCGGGCGTTTGCATGAAAATCTGCTGTAAATTATCGCAAACTAAACTCAATCACCTTATCTTCTTAGAAGCACACAAAACACACGAGCCCTATCCCATAGACACGAAATAGGCGCCTTCAACCTAAGTGGGACGCGTCTTCTTCGGCTTATTCTCCATGTGACCACTGTGATATTTTGGATCCCCGCAGCTCGACCTCTTTGTGTGCCAGGTCGTGTGTGGCACTGGCAAACGGGCCGTTTGGCTCTGTCTTTCACTTTCGTCCAGTTCCCTCACGGGACAACTGGCCGGTTCAGGCAGTGGACTGGTATCTGAGAGAGGGAAATGGGATTGCGGCCGACTCGGGGTAATTCATTTCACACGGCATTTCAATGGTCTCCTTGAACCTAGCACGACGCACTAAATGTCATGCATGAGAAGTTTTCCAGCTGATTTTACATCTCAGACCTCGCATTGGACCCTATGTTTGTGTGGATTTGCGTGGAGAGGTCAATCTCAGCAATACTTGGTTGATCAGCCCAGGCCGTCGACTGATGCATGAGATAGGGTACAGTGAGTGAGATCGACTCTTAGCGCATGGCTACCCACTATAAACAACTTGACGCGCTTAGGAATACCTCAGGGAGCGAAGACCGTGGTTAGAGTCGCTGGTCTTCCAACATCACAGACCGAAGTTCTGGATCCGGTATGTGGACGATACCTTCGTCGTCATCGAATGGGATCAGGTGCTGACGTTCCAAGAATATCTCAACGCCGTCTTCCCGGACAAACAATTTACGATGGAAAAGGAAGAGAACAACCAGCTGGCCTTCCTGGATGTCCTTGTATGCCGCAAAGATTGCGGTGGACTAAACACCAAAGTGTTCAGGAAAGCGACAAATACGATGCAAGTACTGAACTTCAATAGCAACCACCCAATCAGCCACAAACGCAGTTGTGTAAGGAAATTATATCGGCGTGTCGAAACGCACTGCAGTGAGCCGAAAGACAAGATTGCTGAACTACAATACCTCCGATGCGCTTAGGACTGCCTAAGGGAGCGAAGACCTTTCCTTGGAATGCTGCCAACTGAAAATGCAGCTCAGACCACGCAGACAGCCCATTGTCTACTGGCTGCCTGATGAACTGTGAGTCAAACTGCGATGGCTCCTCCTTATTAACACATTCACTCATGTGAGATTCGATCGAACACCCCCATTTGTATACAGTCCTGCTGTCTACGTTTGAGGGATCAGATCGCGTGCGTGGCCCCCGCAGAGAGGCTCTCTATCCTTCCCAGTCATTTCGCCCAGTGCACACATCAGATAACTGATCAACTCGGACAGTGGCCGGAAGGAATGGGAAGAAAAACTGAGCTCGACGACTTGACGCATTTTCCTTACTGCAAACAACCCGGAGCGCTTCTAAGCTATCACGGTGTGCTAAAAGCCGTGCCTCGAAAGATGCTCAGTTAACGGGACAACTCGGTCCCCCTCGTGGAACGGAAAGTCGGGTTACAATAGTTCCTTCTTAATTTGGCCTTTAGAGGACTCCTACTCAGTTGGGATCCGACCCGCCCTTTCTTGTTTCCGTGATGCCTTGGTCAATTGTGTGCGAACCAGGCGTGCGCGACGGCCTCTTAAACTTTATCGGCCATTGCGACCGACCCCAACTTCGGTCGTTTTACTCTGTTTTGAGACAGATTATGCAGCGCAACAATTACAGGAAGTGGGCTAACTCATGAAATGTCAACAGAAATTCCGAAATGCGCTTCCGTTTCGAAAAGATTGATTAAGTAGTGTTGTAAAACCAATGATTATGCAGCATAATTCTACAATAATCCAGTTACCCCAGGACGCCGGCTTTCGAACAAAATTCCTTTCGATTATATCCAAAAACCATACTCCGTAAAAAATGACTAATTATGTAGCATTCATTTTTTCATTGATTTTCGATGCCTTTAAAGATTCAATTATATTTTATGGAAAACATGTGCAAAATATTCATTGTTTTGCTCGTTCAGTAGAAAATTACGTCTTCTCTAAATTATACACTCAAAGAATGGGTACAATTTAATTTTATAAAACTTTTTCAGTTCGCGAATAATTTTGAACCCAACCTGCCATTACATTTGCATTCAGGGTTCCAAAACTACAAGCCGTATAATTTCTGCGTAGATAAAACCATACATTTCTCTACGGCAATAAAAGGAGACCATATAGGGTCCATACAATTAAACAGTGGATTTGAGCCACATCGTTAACTTAACAAGCCACACTGGTAAATGCACAGACATGACGTTTTATGAAGGGCCATTTCACGGTATTAAAACTCTCACAATTAGAAACCTTTTAAAAACCGAATTATACCCTTCCTTCGAGTGCAAAATTGAAATAAGACGTAATTCTCTACTGAATGAGCAAAAAATGAATATTTTGTACATGTTTTCCATGGAATATAACTGAGTCTTTAAAGGCATCGAAAATCAATGAAAAAATGCATGAAACATATTTAGTCATCTTTTACGGAGTATGGTTTTCGGATGTAGCCAAAAAGAAGTTTGTTCGAAAGCCGGCGTCCTGGGTTACTTTAATTATTCTAGAATTATGCTGCATGATGATTGGTTTTACAACATTAGTTAATTAATCTTTTCAAAACGGAGACGAATTTCAGAATTTCGGTTGTCATTTACAGTCCACTTACTCTAATATTACAACTCCACCAAAATCATTCTTTTTGTGGGAAACTCATGTTAAAAGTTTGGTTAATATTTTTTGTGATATATTAGATGTTGTATGTCGATACGACATGATCAGACTTTCGACTCGTACTGAAAAATCCCGAATTTCATACACCCCTGACGAAATTTTTGTTTTTAGCGTTTGATTTTCGCTATATTAAGCCTTGTTTCCCCTGCGTAGTATGTGCGTACCAGTAATCCAAAAACAAGGTCATCTCTGACTGGCGCAATCCTGTTGACAACCAGTTCAGCCATAGGTGAACGACTTGGCCAAAAACGAAATTAAATGCTCCTGGGCTATTAAATGTGCAAGTTTTCGGCTTCTATTACAGACTTTTGTTCTGTTTTGAAAGTGAGGTTTGCTTGTGTGGGCGTTGATTCACTCGTACTGGAGCGTGGATCTGACATAAATTCGCCATAACTTCTGATAATCTCCACTAACGACATGAAGCCCTGTTTTCCCGGAATTAATTTAAACTAGGCAAGGCGACTAAACATGCAGAATTTATCGGCGGCATAAATTTCGTGAGCTGTTGTTCAACTGCACACGATCATTGCGTATTTATAAGAGAAGGTGAACTGTTCAATCAGATATCGACCTGGAGAGATGAAACGTGATAGGTAAAATGAAACATGGATTGTTGGTCTGGGTTGGGGGGGGGGGCGGGGAGAGAAGTCATCTTAGCAAGTGAGTTCAGATTACAGTGAAAACTTGCGGGTTGTAATCAAAACTGCAACGAGTGGGACAGCGGTCGCTCATACCGAGGAGGCGGGGTGGGGGGAGGGGTTGGGAGGATGTCGGAAGACGGATATGGGAATGCAGTTACGTCCATTATCGATCCTTGCCAAGGCAGTGCGAGGTTGATCACGCGGTCCAACTGCTTACAGAGTTCTGGTTTCCTCCTCCGTATTGCAGCGGCCTCTGCGAAGCGCAAGAATCACCCAGTCGTTGTTCGAAGCTTAACCTTAAATGTAACCATTGGGTCTACCGTATGGCCCGTGTCCAATAGGTGATTTGTGGTTGAGCTCCTGGGTACATTAATTTCCGTCTTAAACAGCCACTTCGGCACGTGCTCAGTTGACCGAGCTGCTTACTGTCTAAGAGTATGGCAAAATTCGTCACTTTGCTGTTGAAAATGACGATAATATGTAACATAATGTCAAATTGTCGTTCTGGATGTAGGAAAAGGCAAGTTTTGAAGTCGCATAGACCAGAATGCCTGTTAAAAAACGCCTGTGAAATGTAGAGGGGCGCACACCGATCGTTTTACGGAACTCAGTCATCCCGTTATGCCTTACGGGCTCTCGCTCTCTCGAGCCCAACCAGCGACCGCGCAGCGATGCATGATATAGGCAGAATAGCATCCCCGACAATGACAAGGGAGACTGGAATTGCCAATTCTGGTTTATTAGCCGTCGTCAGCCAGCCATACCCAAGCCCGAAGTGTGGAACACCCCAGCCTCGAACTCACGACCTGTTGGTTTAGAAGTCCACGCCTCTACCCACCGGGTCACGAGCCCGTTGCCTTGTCGGTTTTCGATCAGGAATATACAATGGTAGGGGGCGCTCACCGATCGTTCATACGAAAATCACCCGTTCCGTTGTGCCTTATGGACTCTCTCTTGAGCCCAACCAGCAGCCGCACAGCGGCGCATGATATATATAGGCAGAATGGTATTACCGACAAAGACAAGGGAGACTGGAATGACCATTTCTGGCTTAGTAGCCGTCGTCAGCCAGCCATACCCAAGACGGAAGTGTGGAATACCCGAGCCTCCAACTCACGACCTGTTGGTTTAGAAGTCCACGCCGCGTCAGCCATTCATGCCCAACCCCGAAGTGTGCAACACTTGGGGCTCCATCCCGCGATCTCTTATTAGTTATGACTGGCTGACGACGGCTAACAAGTCAGAAATGACCAGTAAATTCTCCTTTGTTCTTGTTGGTGGTGCTATTGTGCCTAAATCGTGCGCCGCTTAGGAGTTTTCCGAGTGGAGTTTTCGGATGTTCATGTTCTTCGGTGATGATGCTACATGTTAGGATGGACTTAAAAACATAAGTCAGAACGTCGTCTGCGTGGAGGTGCATGCCTGAGTTAATGCTTTCAAGTGTAATCTTGTGTTGACGCTTTTAATAGACCGAATATGCTCCTAGAACAGGTCACGCGGTAGATCCGC